ATGTATTTGTAATGCATTTCTAATGTCGGGATTTTGTGTTATTACATAAGTTTGGTAGATGAGCCACATGATTTATATGTGCCAAAAATGTATCTAATGGCGTCCTTTTGCAACATCTCAAGTTTTTGTGTATTTTGCTCAGTTTCCGTGTCCCAAATCACTGAATCATACTCCAATTTAGACCTTATGTAACTATTGTACGCAAGTAACTTTAGTTTTGTCGGTACTTTGTTTAGTTGCCTTCTTAGAAAACACAACTTCTTAGGCAATACCACCAGGGAAGTATTCCAATTCTGGCATTTTTCTTGTTGGTTTTGTAGCTCTGTAGAAATAATACAGAAAGGGAAAAGGCAAGCAAATTAACCAGAAAAACTTCCGGTCGGCAATCTTACACTCATCGATTAGGGAAGGGAAATATAAAGATGACGAAACAGAGGAAAGTTAAGAAAAAAAGGACAGAGAGACACTGTAGATGTGTGAAATTAACTAAAGGTCATTCGGTTGAACCCGATAATAATAATAATAATAATAATAATAATAATAATAATAATAATAATAATAATAATAATAATAATAATAATAATAATAATAATAATAATAATATAAGAAGAAGAAGAAGAAGAAGAAGAAGAAGAAGAAGAAATTGTTCAGAATTTCAACGGTAATTCTTTTTATCTGAAGTGCCATTACCTGTTTAGAGGAGTTATAATACAACCTTTATTGGTTTTTTTTTGCACACTTTTGACAAATGGCTACAAACAAAGTGTGATTATATTTACCGAGGGGTTGCGCATCCAACCGTTTTTTCTTGAATAATTTTGACGCAAATTCATACCAGTGCAGGTACAGCGAACACCCGAAACAGTTTTATTTCCGCAACAGTGAAATGCTCGAGTGATGTTGATATGCAAGCTCAATGCTGCATTGGCGATATTACAAGCTGCGAAAGCAGTAAAATATGTGTGGGGGCAAGAAAGCAAGGTGTCTGTCTCCTCTCAAGGATTACAGGGCACATTAACAAAGACACACGACTTTCATTCTCAGGGGAACATGCCAACAACTGCACTGAACATTAAAAACTTAGATTGCTTCCACATAGCATGAAGCATGACGCCGCAGAGTCAATGTCGCTGTGGGAAATGATAATGGCGCGGAGTGCATTCATAAAAAAGGCGGCAACTACCACGTCATCAAAAAGGTGCAGCGACAAGAAAGACAGCTTCCTTTGCTGTGTCATTCGGAACTCGATCGACAACACATTTTCATGAGAAGTTGTCATCATAGCAAATTATGAAACAAAATGCACGCAAAATTCAGTGTGCACACTTACACTAAGTCAGTCAGCACTATCATATAGACATCGTGTTGGCAGATAATAGATGAGAGCCCTGTCATGAATGGATTGAAAAACTACTTTATTGGGTCCTGCGGAACGCGACTGGGTCGCTTGCCTGCATCCTGAATGGTATCTTAGGTGGATTTCCTGAACAACATTGTAATATATCCACAGCCCTTTGATCATTTTATTTTGCACTTAACATAGACCTCTCAATCAAAGTACCCTTTAATTGCGACGGTCAATACAGGAATGCCGTAAATAAACTACCTGGCTGCCTTAAATGACACCTGTATTCCTTTCTGTCAAAGTTTTTGTTTTTCTCTTAGCTAAAACCACATTTAGAGTCATCTGAAAGGGTTTACACACATGTGAGGAATGAATACGGCTTGAGCCTCGCCCACGCTAAAACACGGGAACGCAATTTGCACGAGGACAACAAAATGAGCCCCAATAATGCAAGAAGTACATTCACTGAAACTCGAACATAGGCTTGACGCACTTCATATTGACGGTAGGAGACTCAATAGCCCACTTGCGTGGCACACAGAAGCGGTGCAGGCGTTCGGGTCCTTAATTAGAAAGCTTGAAGCTGTCGTTGTGGACGGATTGGTCATCGTTGTATTGCCGTCGACGTGTGTACACAGCCCTGTGAAGCACCACATCCCGATGCCACAAACGAACAACATTCGCCAGAGTCACTGACAGACGCAATGGCGCAATACTCTAACAGCGTACAAAACAAGCATTCAAACAAGCATACACGTACACGGTAATATTTGAAACACTGTGTCGGTGATAATAGCCACAAACTACGTGAAGGAAATAATAGCACGAGGTTTCCCTGATGTAGGAAGTAGGTGTGAGAGAAAGAAAAATCGTTTGTAACAGGAGCGACTCCATTCTAAGACGATATACACAACACACTCCAGCAGCAATAGTGTGTCTGCAGCCTCCGTCATTACACAGGCTACTAAGCTGTGAGAGTGTGGCTCAGACAGGTTGAGCACTTTCTGTGGAACACAATGACATGCATAATATATTCATAACTTTTAAAACATTCATGGCGACTTCATTGACTTAAATTCTACAATTTTATCCTAAGCTCAGTGCCTATTCTAAAGCAGCCATGAAAATCTGTTCAGCTCTCTTCAGCTAATTACCTTTTAAACGTGTGTACTTAATACACTAAGTGTTGTTAGAATTTATTCTAGTTACCATCGAGTAATATTTGATCCTGAGTTGGCACTCCGGCCTATTACAGCGTCGAATTTCATGCTAAGGAACAATCCAGAATTCCTACGCATCGCGCGCTGTGAAAAGGCACCAAAACAAGTATGAAGCCTACCACCAAATGGTATAACAACATGCATACAAGAAAGAGATAAACTCTGCCCGAACCTCACCCGCTCTGAAACAAGGGAAATTAGTTTAAACTAGGCAAACGCCATGACCCAACCACGGATCTCGGTGGTTACCCTCCTCAAAGTTATGATCATATATATATTTACATTTGATTATTGACTCGAAACACATTGAAACTGACTATAAAGTCATTGCTCCTCTTTTTCTTGTTTAAAGTTCCCCTCGCCAAAGGTACTACACGGTTGTAGTTACCGCATAGCCAATAAATATCGCCACTCACAAACATTGTAGCCTGTGTGGTGCTGACGAAGCTTGCAGGTCTGCAACCGCATACTTTTGTATTTGTGACAGGCGCTCTGTTCATGCGTATGGGCTAGTTTCATAACTATCAAACTACACCTCAATGCTGAAAAAAAATCGATGAAGGCATTCAAATACGCAATTTCTTTTAATCAGATGACATATATGTGCGAACATAGCGTACCGCGTCATAGGACATACACTCCCACTCAAGCTTTATAACTGTGTTTTTCGGCCTCGCGACAATAATACCAATATGAGTCAGAACAGAAATGCAGCCTTTACACGTGCATTACGAATCACGAATAGGTTGAGGCACTTATCCTCTGCCCGTAGTGAAGCTTTGTAGCAGATGAATGACGATTCCTAATGGTTAGAGGTAAGGAAGCATCAAAAAACCTCTGAGATAATAAAATAATTAATAAAACACCAAACAAACAAAACAAAGTGCCTGCAGCTAACAATCTTGTAAGACATTTACTGGGATGGTGATATATCTTGATATACATCTCAGTTCAGCAGGACGTGTTTGATCAATGCTGCGGTTAATGTCCAAAGTCTATGTGACGGAGAAGACAACCGACACTTAAACGCAGCGATGTTCAGTCACCTTCATCTGAACTCTAGAGGATGGTCTACCTAATAGTAATTTGTCACTGAATATTTTGAAGTAGCTCCGAAGTTGAAGGATATATCTAGTTAAGACTGGAAAAGAAGTTTTAATGGAGCATTTTTATAGTATGGAGTCATAAGTGCTTTTCTAAAGCACGCTACTAGAAGCTGCAGCAATTAGGCACACTGCTGTTATCGGTACACAATTCACAAGCGTTCCTGGAGCACACAACATCGACGGTGGCGGCACAGTAAGAATCCTCAAGACGACAGCAGCCGCATTTGGGATGCGTCGGCTTGACTGTCTCTGGTCCCTTGTCACATAGAAAAAAGCACACTACACGCAATCTGCGAATACTTATCTTTCCCTTGGTAGGGCTAACGAAACGAAGACGAAAGCGTGCGAATTCTCTTTGATCTTCAAAACTGGATCATTATTTGTATGATTTTTTTAAACACCAGCCTGCGCATGAACGATGAGGTTCGAGATATTTGCAACGGTTTAGTTTGTTACGCCACTGCACCTTTCTCGTTTCTAAACAATGGAGCAACGGAACTGCGATGAACACAACGCCACACGTGTACTCCTGGTCTCCGACGTCAAGCAGCAGTTGCTTGTTGCTCGCTGATTTCTTCGAAGCTCTAAAACCGCGCGTGATATCTAAGCTTCACGTATAATTATAAAGGATAGTATAACACTGTAGTAGTTGTCGCTTCCTCTTTTATTTCTGACACTCACCTCGTCACCTTTGACTGCACATATTGTTGGCTACTTCTGTATTGTTAGAAAGAGCCTAGATTCTTAGGAAAGAATACTAATATATTTTAAGAGAAAGACAACAACATATTGAAAGTGAGTATGAGGAGATAACATTGAAAGCACCGATTTATGTCATGAGTTTATCTCTGCAGGTACCGATTATAGACATGCGTAAAGCTACACTTAGATATTTACGCGAACGTGATGAAATCTACTCCAGTTTGAAACAGAAAACAATAACCAAATTGGCCGCTCAGTATTTGTATGCACCTATTGATTGCAGCAGAAACCTATCAATCAGAAGAATATGTTATCATGGGGCCCATCACTGTTTTGTTTTTGAAGTTGATATTTTTGAAGTGCGAGTCATGCATAAAACAGTGATCCGATTAGGTTGCTGTGAAAGACGTCACAACGCTGTTCATGCTCAGGTCAGACTAAAATTTCCATAGAAAGCGTACAGTAAAATCACAGATAGAGAATGTGTGGCCATAACCATAACCAGTTAGATACATTTCTACAATAACTAAACAAATTCACCTTTGTCCAATATAAGGTTACAAATGTTAGATGAAAAAAATTCGTTCATTCTGCTCAGCAAAACTCTTTCGCTGAAGTCACACAACATCACAGCTGGCTGCTTTGACTAGCAGCGTCATCGTCATCATCCACAGTCACTGGTCCGTTGTCATCAACGTCCGTGCGTCCTTCTAGTCTGCTTATGCGCTGCTTCATCTTGATCTGGAAGGCCATGTACTCCGCCAGAAGCCGGGCAAATCTGGTTTGAAGATTGTCCAATGCTTTCTCAAGCCGTTCACACTTTCCCTGCAGGGACTCCTGCTCCTTCTCGGAAGCCTTGACGGCGTCTTCGTCCAGGAGTCCGTCACGCCGCAGTATGCTGCGTCCTCTTTCAATAAGCATCTTCTTCGCCTCGGCGTATTCCTCTAACACTATCCAGAGGTCTTCTTTGGAGAGACAGAAAAGGTCGGAGTAGCCAACGCTGCGGACGTTTGCCGTCCTACGGTTTCCGGTCTTGTTGCCGGTAATGTTAAGTATACTGAGTTCTCCAAACACGCTACCATCGCTTAGCGTGGCAAACACAGTCCGTCCATCGTCACCAACAACGCTCAGTTTTCCTCTCTTCACAATGTACATCTCCTTGCCAACGTCGCCCTTGCGGCAAATGTAGTCTCCGGGGCTGAAAACTTGAAGCCTCAGCTTCAACACAAGCTGCACTAGAAGTCCCGGCTCGCAGTCTTGAAAGAGTTTCACTCTTTTCAACGTGTCCAGGTGCACATGGATAGCAATCTCGGCTTTCAGTTTGTCCGGAAGCATCGACGTAATCTTGTCCTCGTCCAACGACTGCTTGTTTGTCCAGAGGTAGTCGAACCATTTGATGACCCGGTTCTCGAGCTCCTTGCTCACCTTTCTAAACTCCATATACTGCTTCACGCTGTCCATGCGATGTTGGAAATCGGCTCTCGCAGCGTTCATGTTAGTGATCATACTGCCCACATTACCGACGATGGTGGCGAAAATGAGCACACCGACGAGAAAGTCAATGACGACAAACACGTACTCCGCATCCTTCTCGGGAATAGGCACTTCACCTATGGTCGTCAAGGTCAGCGTCGACCAGTAAAAGCTGTAGATGTATTGGTGCCGCAGTGTACCGTACACGGGCAGGCTAATGTTCTTGTACACCCAATTGTCCGTCCCGAAGCCTATGGCGTAGCTCACGGCAAAGTATAGGCACGCGTTCCAGTGGATTATCACCAAAATTAGGAATATAAGCTTGGCGATGCGAAACGCGTACGGAAGTTTGTGCGGGCCTCAGTCCGGTCCGAGAATTCCTGCATTCGGTACGCTCGAAACAGACGGTTCAGCCGCACTATCACCGTGCAGGGCACGCGCACTTTGCACTCGACACCCAGGAAGAAGTACGCGACGTCCGTCGGAACCAGGCTGATAAGGTCTAGCTTGAAGTGGAGGGATTCTATGTACCGCTTCAGGAGCTTGCGAGTGTTCCTGACAAGAAGGCCTTGCTCAAGGTATCCTGAAAAGAAAGAAGGTAGAATAGGGGGCTTACAGTCACGTGTTACAACACGCTACAAATAAGATCATTCAAAGATGCCCAGACAGGTTAAGAGTCCCAGCGTATATGCAAAGTAAATTTCATAGATTAAGAAAGCACATGAGACGCAAAACCACGTGAGTATCGATCTGGACATCGGATTTGGGGTGAAGCATCGGTCCAGAAAGTGAAACTGCTGTTTCATCATTTATGAAGTACTGATCACCATTTTATGTTACATATACATAATTGATAAAAACTGAATCGAAACTTTGATTCAGTACCTGAATGCAATACAGCTTCTAATATGAGAACCAACAATCGTTCATATTTCTGGTAGGTCAAGCTGAATGGGCATTGCTACAAGGTGAGTGATGACGATGAATGCACAAAGGCAACGTTTCATCTTTTTGAATTTGGCTGAAAAATAGAAACGGGGGCGCGCACCTGTTCTGGCGTGGAAGACCATGTCGAGGAGGTATATGCCATCGCAGGTGTAGTCGAACACGTACCAAGCGATAGGCATCGCGTTCTGCAGTTCCCAGAACACACTGCGACCCACAATGACGAGCACGTTGTAAAGAACAGCAGCGCTGATCACGGAGAGCCACCGGTAGTGGAAGTTTTCAGAAGGGTCCACAACAAAAGCACGACCATGCTTCTGGAAGAAGCTAGAAAATATAAAGATATATATATATCAGTCATTACTAAACCAGTTTTACGCAGAAGCCAATTAAACGTTCGACAGACTTTCTCTTCCCTCCTGCTGCTTCTTGTCTCTCTTCAACCCATTCGCCATTGAAACAGTACCAAAAGGAGTGTTATTATGGTTAACACATTCCCATCTACGTCAATAGTTTCTCATGTTCTCTATCCTCATGATCGGTATTAGGGCACTTGCGAACAACACGGCCAAGGGTTCAATATAACTTTTCTTGAGAATAAAATACTCAGCTTTTTAGCGATTCCTAAATAAGGAAGCACGGTAAAACTTTCAGAGAAAAAGCAGTAAATGACTGATGAATAGCTTTGCATGCGCCAATTATAAAAAGAAAGAAATTACTTGTATATGAATAGATAATATAACATATCGCAAACAATTATATCAGGCAACTAAAAGCGTTGTGTATGACCGCTCCTTGCAGCTAGGCAAAGAAAGAAAATCACAGGAGGAGGATGAAGGGAAAAAATGAAAGGCAGGAAGGTCAACCAGACGCACGTCCGGTCTGCTACCCTGCACTGGGGGAAGGGGTGAGGGGATTTAAGAAGAAGAGAGAGAGAAGTGAAGGGTGACCTGTGTGTAGATGTGACCTTGTCCATTGCATGCTTATAAGCGGTCGCGTAGTCCAGTCGTCTTTAGAAAACTTAACAATGTCCGCGTCGCTTTGCTGGCCAGCGACGCGTAGAGCCATGAGCCAAGTATCTTCTCTTCGGAGAAAGCTCTACTGTCTAGTGTCTCTAACGTTTCGCGTAACAAGTTGCGTTCGCTCGCAAAACGTTCACATGAACACAGTAGATGTTCTATTGTCTCGTCAGTGTCGCACGATTCACATCGGGAGCTATCCGCCATGCCTATGCGAAAGGAGTACGCCTTTGAAAAAGCTACTCCTAATCACAGGCGGCACAGTAAAGTTGCATCCTGGCGGCAGAGGTCCGATAGAACTTGAAGCTTTCTCGATGGGTCCAATTTGTGTAGGTGGCGCTTCCTGACACTGGGGTCACTCAGCCAAGTTTTCGACATGGTGTTAGCGAACGAGTGAAGGCCCCTTGCAGCGTCGGTTCTCGACAATGGAATTGGGGCTGTCTGGGCGTCCGCGTGGGCGGATCGGGCAGCATTATCAGCAAGATCATTACCGACAATACCACAATGTCCCGGTAACCACTGGAACACCAAGTCATGTCCTTTCGATAAAACTTCGCGAATCAGTTCTCTTATTTCACTCACTAGTTGTTGATGCTCCCTCTGTCGTAAAGCTGATTGCAAGCTTTGAAGGGATGCCTTGGAGTCGCAGAACACAGCCCATTTTTGAGGTCGGGCTTCCGCGATATGAAGTATAGCAGCACGTAAGGCGGCAAGCTCCGCTGCTGTGGATGTTGTCCTATGCGACAGTTTGAGCTTTATAGTGACCTGGATTTGGAGCTTTATAGTGACGCCGGGATGACAACAGCACCTGTGGAGCTGTCAGCCGAGACCGATCCATCGGTGTAAATGTGGGTCCTCTGGCAGTATTTTTCGTTGAGTAGCGACAATGTCACCTGTCGTAGGACCACTGTTGAATGATGGCTCTTGTTTGTTATTCCTGGAATAGTGAGGCACACCTGTGGTTGTTGTAGGCACCACGGGGGTGACGCTGGTCTTTTTGCTGGAGTGAAGCCAAAAGGAAGGCATTCTCTATGGGCAGAAATAATCTTTGAAAACATCGCGTGTGGTCTTTGAAGTGGCAACGCTGCAACATGGTGACCAGGAACTCGGCAGAGATGTCTTATGTGGGCTCTCAAATTGTCAGTGGTGATGTATGTTCGAATTGGATGCTCTCTTGCGATCATAATTGCCCCGTAGGCTGAGGCGCATCGCGGCAATCCTAAGCACACGCGTAGTGCTTGTCCTTGCAGACTTTCGAGAGTGCGGATGTTCGTCTTGCACGTACTTGCCAGTAACGACAAGCTGTAGCGCAAAAATCCCAGAAACAGTGCCCTGTATAGCTGCATCATTGACCTTATCGATGTGCCCCAAGATTTTCCGCAGAGGAACCGCATTATACGGACGATGGAAGTTAGCCTTCTCTTCAGGTAATTGCAGTGGGCACTCCACGAAAGGTCCCTGTCAATAATCACACCCAGGAAGTGATGGCTCTTCTGGTATGGAATATTTTGTTCATTGATGGTAACGGGGTATTGTGTCATGGCTCTGCGAGTAAACGCAACCAATGCACATTTCTCCGTTGAGACGGAAAGACCTTGCTTGCGGAGATATGAGCATGTCAGGGTGGCAGCCTGCTGGACTTTTGCACCTACTTGTAGACGCGTTACAGCCGAAGTCCATAGACAAATATCGTCAGCATATATGGATATGAGGATAGTACTTGGCAAAATTTCACGAAGTCCTACCATCACGAGGTTAAATAAAGCGGGACTTAATACGGCGCCCTGAGGGACGCCACGGGAGATATAGTAATTGGTGGTAGGTCCATCTGAGGTTTGTACAAAAAAGGACCTTCTCGTCAAATAATCCTGGATCCATTGGAACATCCGACCACCGATTCCAACAGCTTCCAACGAGTCTAGGATGGCTTTATGTGTTACGTTATCATAAGCCCCTTTGACGTCGAGGAAGAGTGCCAGTGGTATGCGCTTGAGCCTCTTCTGTTGCTGGATAAATGTTGTGAGATCAATCACGTTGTCAAGAGATGACCTACCTCGCCGAAAACCCGTCATGCAGTTTGGATATACGCTGTAGCGCTCGAGGTACCATTCTAGGCGTGTAAGTACCATCCTTTCCATGACTTTCCCTACGCCACTTGCGAGGGCAACAGGGCGAAATGATCTCAAATCAAATGGTGACTTTCCTGCTTTGAGTAGTGGCACAAGTCGACTTATCTTCCAATCCTGGGGAACATTGCTTGCCAGCCATGAGTGGTTGTAATAGCTTAACAACTATCTCTTTGCCTCCTGTTGAAGGTTGGCTAGAGCGGCGTAGGTGATGCCATCGGGTCCTGGTGAAGATGATCGTCGGGAAGCCGCCAAAGATGCGTCAAGTTCTTCTATAGTGAAAAGATTGTCCATTTCATAGATGCGGGGTTCAGGGATAACACTCCTAATGGTGCCAGCGGACAAGGCGGACACACCAGCGATTCGCGTACAAAACTCATTTGCCACTTCAAGTTGGGTGTGGCCTGAATGTAGGGCTAAAGCCATGAAAGGATGTCTTTGTTGGGGAGTCGAGCGCAGTCCACGAATAGTGCTCCAGATGCGTGACAACGGTTTTCGGGGATCCAGTGATTCGCAGAATGATTTCCAGCGTTCCTGTTCAAGTTTGTCTAAACGTCGTTGGACTTTTTTCTGTATGCGTCGTGCCAGCCTCAAGTCGCATATTGCTTTCGTCCGCCTGTATCTTCTTTCCGCCCTTCGACGAAGCGCGCACAGTTCTTCCAGTTCAACGTCGAAATCTGAACGCTTGCCGGTGAACGGGAGGAGACAGGAAGCTTCCCTCATTGCCTCTTTGCTGACATCCTCCAAGTTCTGGTCAGGGTCTTCACGGCATGTATTTTCCATGAGTCGCTGAAATTTGGACCAATCAATTCTTCGTATTGTGGTCTAGGAAAGGAGTTAGTAAGACCCCTTATTCGCATGTAAGTTGGAATGTGGTCACTCCCATGCGTTTCGATGTCTGAAAACCAGTGCACTTGCGACCGGAAGTTTCTGGATACCAGAGTCAAATCGATGCAACTGCTGTACGTAAGGCCCCGCAGGTATGTAGGACTGCCATCATTTAAGAAACATAGGTCATGCTTGGAAACGAATGACACGAGGTTTCTTCCTTTAGCGTTGATCGTCGAACTACCCCAGATTAAGTGATGTGCGTTGAAGTCTCCAGTTATAACCCACGGGCCCGTAGTTGTTGTCAGTATGTCTCATAGTCGGTCTTGTTCAAATCGTCCGGATGGTGATATGTAGACACCAATCAGTGTGAATGACACTTTTTCTTTTTAACACGTAAGCAGAGATATTGATTGTCATCATGCGGTTGAACTGCATGATGCACATATGTGAAATCTGTGCGAATGTAAACAACCACCTTGCTGCGTTTCTCGCACATTGAACAAATGAAAGATTCATACCCTGATAGTTTAGGAGGTTGTTGCACGTTTGGTTCACATATAACTATAATAGGAATACGATTCATGGATATATACTGACGGAACGAAGAGATGCGGGATCTCAGGCCTCTCGCGTTCCACTGCATTATCGACGCTTGTCGGACCACGTTGCGGAAGGAGAAAATTGGTCGAGCCATGGTTGCTACTGGAGACTTGCAAATACTGGACTTAGAGCATCCAGTCCTTGTAGTGCACTCTGAGTGAGTGGAGACTTCAGGCTGCTGCACAGCTTTCGCATGGCATCCAGCAGTGTTCGGAACATTCTGATGACTTCTGTGTCCTCCTCAGGCAGCTTGTCAGCGGCTGGCTGGAGTGATGTGACTGTCGATGTGCGCTTGGAATTTGCAGGTGGCTGTGATTTCGGCAATGAAGGCCAAACTGATTCATCTGCAACAGTGCTGCTCATTGGTTTGTTGACCGCGCTGGCCGCCTTTGGTCTGGGAGGCAAGGGCGGTGGAAGAGAAGGGTGGTGGAGTGGTGCTTTCAATGCAGCGTCTGCGGTATTCTTTGATGAACTGCGGCGACGATGACGCCTCTTTCGGATGATCCTGGCAGCCTCTCGATGCGACGAATTGTCTCCGACCATTTGTTTCAATACCGCTATTTCTCTTTGGATTTTGGGGCACTCTTTTGACGAAGCTGCATGTGACCCATGACAATTCAAGCATTTGAGGGTAGTTGCTTCGCAGTCATCCGCAGAATGGGCTTCCGCGCAACGAGGACACACCGTCCTATTTTCGCATACGCTTCTCACGTGGCCCATCTTCATGCAATTATAACACTGTAAGGGCTTCGGTATGAAAGGTCGCACTGAATGCCGAAAATGGCCCACCTTTACGTGTGAAGGAAAAGAGTCGCCCTTGAATATGATCTTCAAGCAGCGTGAGTTTCCCAAACGGACAACTTTTGCGATGACGCTGGCTTCATTTGCCGGTTTGACCAGAACATCGAAGTCGGAGCTGGGAATGGCAGTATCCACATCGTAGATGACTCCAGTGACGACGTGAGAGCTCATAGGAATGTAGGAGCGAACTTTCAATCCCCCCAACTCGTTGACGTTGCGCAGTACATTAAGTGCCGCAGCATGCAAAACGTCGATGGCCAATACGTTCTTACGCGTGTTCACTCTGATGTCTGTGATATCGTTTGGCACGAGTCCTTCCAGCATCACCGAAACAGATTGCCTGTTGAGGCGCTTCATGTTACCGTCCGGTACCTCAGGGACAAAAAGGATAGTGTTTGTCACGGGTCTCCTTGGCACTCTGTCGTTCAACGTACTCGATGACGAAGATGTTCTGACGTTCCGCCTCTTCGCTTTACGGCTCAGCACCAGCTTAAAATCGTCGTCGTCAGAAGGCTCTTCGCTGCTCATTGAGTAAACAAGAGTGCCCTCGCTGTCGTAGTCGCTGTAGAGTCCCGTACGCTTCCTGGATGCGGCCACCGCCGACGCCGCCGTAACTGGCGGACGTCCATGGGGGTCCACGTCCATCACCGATGGACACGGATGTGATATTCGCGAAGTTCACTTAAAATTAGGTGAAAAAAGAGAGCACCTACTGAAACTGCAATCTGCTAAGCAATCACTTCGTCTTCGTCCTCCGAAAATCACAGCATATCCGCTTGGTGAATGATGACGAGTGAGGTAAAGTGGACGGATGGATGCATGGACGCTTCGCCCCTGTCATCATCATTCCCTCCGTGGATATGCTGTGACACTGTTTTTATTGACATGCAATGCAATGCAACTGGCTACTTCGACAACGACAGTGGACGTACGACCCACGGCGTAAGAAGCTTCCCCTTAAATCGTACAACGTTTTAAGCATCTGGCGAAGCGTTAACTGAAAGTTGTAGTGCTGGGTTTGTGGAGCCGCCTAAGCTTGCTCAGTTTTTTCTTTTTTCGTTGTTGTTGTGTTTCATCGTGCTTTGATGCAGTTGTTTCAAGCCAGAAATGACCTCAATGCAAGACGCAGCGTTTCATACGAGAAAAATTTCCGTTTATACTCATAACTTTTTATAATATTTGGGATAACATACTGTACCTTTGCTTCGTTTGTTCTCCTTTGGGAGGCTCTGCAGCTTCTTCGGCCGTTTGTCCCATGGCGAACTTCTCCAAAAAGGAGTCGGGTCGATCGGGCTCCTTGGTCTTTTTGTGGCGCACAGCCCATTTCTTAAGGCCCTGCATAAAGCAGCATAGACGTATGCAATGCTTGTTACATAAGAACGACACCACAGCAACGAGCTTCTCTTCCGGAATAGGCAATGCAATTGTTATATTCTTGTTGAGTGCTGTTACGGCCTTGTTGATGCCTGTCTCATCCGGTGACGAGACATCAGAACCTCTTGGGCAAGTTAGCTTATTCCTTTTCGTGTGTCTGTGTGAGTGTGTGCTGCTTAGTTTCATTTTGTGCCGTCCGACAGTCACGCGATGGAAATCATTTATGAAATGAGCCAGGGTGACTGATTTATGATAATTTTACTTTCTACATGGCACCCAAAACAATCCCGTAATTACGAAACACATGTAGTTCAATTTTTATATGACCAACGCATGCAAGTTTTGAAGTGATAGGGCCACACTAGCACACAATCTTTCGGAATTTTCAGCACTCATGGGCAAAGCTATAGGGACGTGGCTTCCAATGAGGACCTTCGGGTACGTTGTCGAACCGCGTGTGCTCAGCTAAGGACTGGATAAGTGACAGAGATCTAGCAGACCAAGCAAGCTATCTCTCGGACGGCTCCTAAACGGGAAGCCAGCCCGAAAACCTGCAGGAACTGAAAAAGATATTCACACACTCACCCTACAATGAGAACTGCCACTGGCTGAGGGACAAAACCAGCACTTGTTCTGTCTACCTTTTGACCAATCGATGCTAAGTCCTTTTGGAGTTGAGTACAGGTGTCTAAAATTAGTTGTTATACTGCTGATTTCGATTTCTTCGCTAGTCTATAGGCTGCCCATAACAACGGTGATGGGAAGCTTGACTCCTGTTATGCACAGCTTATATAGTTTAACCGAGGAACCTACTTATACACAGTCTAGGCTTGAAGAACAAAAAAAAAGCCATCAGCACAAATTTGTAAAACTTAAAGATGGGATATTACTTCTATTTTGGCTTCGCAACCTTACAAAACTAATCAACACAAAACACATGACGGTGGAATTACAAGAAAAGGAAGGAACGTCATCACGCATCCAGAGGAGGAGCTCGATAAGGTCACAAACTCGCCTATAGTCCCGTTGTTTTCTGATCAAGTGGATAGCACTGTGAGCACGACTTTAGCATGGCTTGGTGCACGCAAAGTCCTTCGAGGAAAGCATTGCCATGTATATCAGAGCAATGATGTCTTCCTTGCAACGTAGTGATGTTTGTCGTGATACATAGATGTGCCGAAGTGTATGTGCCCTATTACTAGAACGTATGAACCCTTTGTTTCTTGTACATAGTAAGTCTAAACACACAAACCCTGATTCTGCCGATGTATTTGCCAAGCTTCGTCTCTGGCGGTGAGTCCTGGTCGCTGGCCATCTGCTCAATGCGCACGATCTCCGAGCACGTGCTGCTGCGGTTGGACGGGCTCGGGACGCCATTTTCAAGCAGCTCCAGATCACCAGGCTGCGCAGCAAATACCGTTCATGTCATTCACAAGCGAGGAAAAGCTGTTGTTGCTAATAGCCATGCCCTGCTGTTCTTCCTATTTGTACCAACAGACACGCGTCTCTAGTGTGTAAAATACACAAATGTTTTAACTAGGAACTTACAGAAGTTATTGACAGGCTCTGAAGCACAACAATGAAGATATAGGCAAATTACGGTAAAGCCTTTCGCAAATAGTCACGTACATTATTTCGTTCACAGAACTGTTGAGCTCATTCAGTGCTTTAGTTTACAAGCGTGTGGAGCTTAGCAATCCAATTTTAATTTCTATAATCTGCTTTATGTTCTTATCTTGTTATTTATTGAAAATAGGCTTGACCAACGCCCTGCAAGGGTACCAGCCTTTCCTATGAACGACATCATTCGTAAAGCGTCCCTTCTGTTCTGTTACTCAATACAGAGTGACTATTAGACAACTGCACATTAAAACGTAAATAAAGAGTCTTGTAGCCTGATGCGTAAAACATACCACAGATATGCACACTGTTTGCCATTTAGCACGCCCGCTAGAACACATCAAACGTAATTGTTGACATTTGTCGACTAAGCATTCATGATTTATATTCTAAAAAGCAACGTAAAAGGTTCAGCTACCGCACACGATTAAAAACGCGAGTAAGCATATAAAATAGCCTGGTCTTTGCACATATAAAGCTTGCATGATGACCACTGTCCTTCAGGCATCGCCCCACCTGCTCAGGAGTGCGCGGTGCCACCTGTCCGTCGTTGGGGAGGCTGCGGTGTCGGGGCACCTGAAGGGTGGTCGGCGCAGGAACCCTGAGCTGCGGCGAGCCCAAGGTCCTGGCGGCCTGCCCGGCGACCGCCGCCGTGTCCGAAGCCAGCACGGGCGCCGTGTCGGCAGGCGGTGCTTCCATCAGCGCCGCCGACCGGTCATCTTCATCGCCTCCGTCCGCTTTCTGGCGCTCGCGGTGGGTGCCCGACGTCGCTAGCAGGTGACTGGCTCGCCTTCCTGAACGACCAACAAAGTGATGGCCTCACAACACAGCAAAAACTACGTTATGGTACTGGAACGTATTCCCTATACATCGAAATTCAATAGCACCAGCTGGCTTCGTTATTGAAACTACTACGAAACACTTATTTATCAGCCCGGCTTGTACGTTGCTGACGTGAGTGCACCCGTCGAAGTTCCGAAGTGGGTTATCAGAGGATTTGCATGCAAAGAGCACAATTGAATAATGAAGGAGGCCGGGATGAGCGAGCTGTAGATTTACGCTTTCGCCCCTTATTTGTTGTTGTTTTTGTTTTTTTTTCGTCTACTTAGGGTAGAGTGGGGTAAAAAGAGACACGGGGCTGGCTTCTGTAGCTAATTCACAAACTACTTCTCTTTGTTTCTGTTTTGCAGCAGTAAGTGCTTGTCTGAAATAAGAGCATGACATGTGGGCGCAATTCGTTGGCGAATTCGTTAAATACCAGCTGAGTTACAGCGATTTGTCACACGCCTAATGCCCCTTTTCTCTCGCTTAGTACCAGCAAGTGCGCCGAAAGCTACGCAGGTGGGCAATCAGAAGCTTCTTAGTCAGCATGCGTCATGACCTCTAGCACTTTCTCTTATTTCTATATTTTGCTCTTACCAGGCGATTTAAATTTCAGTGTGGTCGCTAGCACACACGCGAGTTCGTGGCGACATTCCTCGGTGGTTGCGGTGACTATTCAGCACATGATGCCCAAAGCAGCCAATGGATATAGACTTTGGGCGTATGGTATACGGTTAATAAAGTTTATGACAACAGTGTAGATAGGTGGGCTAGGTGATCTGGTAGAGTGCTCGTGAAATCTTGCTTTTCTCTGTCTGTTGTGTGTTCCAGCGCTCCCAGTTCACTCAGCGAATTTATGACGTCATTGGTCTGGAGAAAAGAATGATTACTAGTTGATTGAGAATTAAAAGTGAATTTCAGGCGACTGCGCTATAAACTTTGATTCACATGCTCTCAAGAGCCTCAACTACTGATCAGCAGACTTTTTTGACCATGCTTCAAAGGTATTGCAGAACTCCTGCAAACCTTTCACTGCTGTTCGAATTTGAGCGGTGCAGCTGAGAAGAAGACATGTCGCTGTTTTGACATTGTGATCGTAAACCGGCTACCTCAGCTCAAAACAAAACGATCATTTATGATGCGACATTGAGATCTGAAATATTCCACGGAAGTGACTGGTTATATCGTTCTGCCTGACATACCAAATTCAAGAGGTGCCACGACATCTATAAGCGTAGCCAGAAATAGTTTTGCAAGGGGAAAAGTGAGGTAAATCACACTTTATATATGTTCATGTGTGCGTCTCTATGTATGCATATACACATATGCAGAGTTTGAACAGTTAAGGGGAAAAAATTGTTGAAGCCCTCCTTCATACCCCTCACCACTAATGTGTCCGTTTCAACAAGAACACTGGTATTTTTAGAAACGCGTGCACACTTCTTTTAGCAGTGAAGCTCCTCTTAGTCTAACTCAACGCCGACTCGGCGTTGGTCTAACCTCGTCACTGGTCACGCATAAGCGAGAGAAGAGACGAGAAAAGAAAGGCAAAAAAAAAATGGATGACCATATCTCGTCTCATTTCCTAGATGGCGTTATTCTGCCGCTACTCTCCAATCGGCTGCTGCGCGCGCTTCGCCTGAGTGTGCGGAGAACGAGTGGCTCTGTCAGTCTCTTGAATAGTCGCCGTACGTGATGGATCGTTGGTGGGGCATGGACGAAGCATAGCGGCGGATGCCTTGAAGACGCTTGCGCTCGGCTTCCTTTGCTCACGTCGCGTCGGTGTTACCCGCGCACCGTCTGCATTCTCGAACGCGATCGGAAGCATAGACGCATGCACGGACAGACGGACACACGTAAGAATCGGCGGACGGACGCTTCGCCCCACTCATCATCATTCACTTTTGGGATATGCTCTGATATTTTTTTATTTGTAAGGGGTAGCACTTCTCAGAATACTTTCATTAAAGTTCTTCGTAAAGTACCACATACAAAACGACTTTTTCTGGGCATACATGTTTCCAGTGAAACAAATGTACAGCCATTATCAGTCGCAATAATGAAGCAGACATAATTTAAAACATACGCGTGCGAACAAGGGACGTAGTAGCAGAGGTATTCTAAAACTACATCACTGATTAATCAGGCGCTAATTATTCAGAATTTCTGCAAGTGTGTCGTGTTTGATGGTATAACATTGTGTCGTAGAGTGTTTCAATGCTCTTGATAACTTTCATTATTTCTTTTCAATTCTTCGCATTTAATAAGATATGGCTGACAAGCGATGTTTATTATGTCAAGTCGTAGTAAAAGCCCCTTCTATTTTTTCAATACAAAAGTGTTTTATGCCGGGGTACACCATGGCTCCGCTTACGTACTTTCAGCACGGAAGTTACATTGAAAAGTATATAGCGAGTGATTACAAAAAAAAAAGTGCCCCCCCCCCTTCCCAAAGGGAATCGTGAGGAAATGCGAATGCATTGCGTAGCGTCCATAACAGCGTTTCACACGTGAGAACCCAGCGTTATAAAACTAATGTTTTTTTAGGGGCGAAACTCCTTATAGCGGCACCCGTTCGTCCCCCGTAGTATGTAACAAGTATAACATTTTGACCTCCAAGGTGGTGCTGGTGAGAGACTTCTTCTGTGCGTTGTTGAACAATAGAAGATAGAGCTCAATGTACATGTCAATGGCTGCTAATGGGGAATGAGAGATAGGAGCATTCGGCTTTTAGTTAACGCGCAGGCTGCGATTACCATTAGCAGCCATTGGCATGTATATTGAGCACTATCTGACAAGAAAGGGTTGCTACGTTATACTCGCTGGGTGTAACCTCCTTAGCTTTAGAAAGGTTTAGCGAGCGTTGAGCCGCAGTGCCATAAATAATATGAACTTGTATATACCATGAATGAACTCGAGGTGGTTAAGAATGGGAAGTAGATACGAAGCGCAAGCCGTAAGAAAGTAAAAGCTGAATTCTGCGCCTCTCATTTCCCATTAGCAGCCATTGGCATGTACATTGAGCACTATCTGACTGAAAAGGTTTGCTACGTCATACTCGCTGGGCGTAACCTCCTTGGTTTTCGAAAGGTTTAGCGAGCGTTCGGCCGCAGTGCCATGAATACAGTGAACTATAGTATATACCATGAGCTCGAGGTGGTTAAAGGTGGGAAGTGGACACGAAGCGCAAGCCGTAAGAAAGTGTGCGTGTGCCACCTCTCGTTTAGTCCTTGGGATGTCCGCTGGATGGCAGTGCTTCTATATGGGGAATATATGATGAAAAGATGCGAGATGGTGGTACTTGGAGTGTTGAATAGATGGACGAACGGACACATAGACAGATGCATGATAGACGCATGAACGGACGCAGGGGCGGCTGCATGGACGAACGCAGGGACGGACGGATGAACAGACGCACGCACGGACGGGCTGATGGACGCATGGACGGTCACACTGACGGACGCATGGACGGACGGAAGCAAGAACGAATGGACGGACGAATTCTTTGCTCCACTCTCTATCAATCACTCCGTGGATATGCTGCCATTTTTTTTTACACCGTGGCTGTGTTCCAATACTGACCGTAGACGGCTAAATAGACGGCTAAATGGATGGCGGCTATCTTAATCCCCATTCCAATTCTCACGTATCCGGCAAAATAGACCGCTCCGATTGATTGATTGATTGATTGATTGATTTGTGGGGTTTAACGTCCCAAAACCACCATATGATTATGAGAGACGCTGTAGTGGAGGGCTCCGGAAATGTTGACCACCTGGGATTCTTTAACGTGCACCCAAATCTGAGTACACGGGCCTACAACATTTTCGCCTCCATCGAAAATGCAGTCGCCACAGCCGGGATTTGATCCCGTGACCTGCGGGTCAGCAGCCGAGTACCTTAGCCACTAGACCACCGTGGCGGGGCTAGACCGCTCCGAGAAGTCCGCATCGTAGACAAATACGATGCAGGCTCCTTTGCTGTCTAAACAAGATGACGGCTCAGCGAATCGCTCAGATAGACCGGATCTCGCCAGTATGGCCATCTGCACACAAGCTGGCGCTTTCCCAGGCGTTCAATGTGAGTAACGTTTATTTGTTTTTGTTTTATTTTAACACGAAATAAGTCAGAAAATACAACTGTTACGTTTGTTTATATTAGATTTTTTTCCCGACGCGAGGTGGTGCATTGTTACGTAAAAGCCGTCCAGAAGTGTTCCACTTCTCGGACAACATGGGCTCGGTGCTGTATTCTACTGCCCACGTGCTGTCTAAGAATTTGGACACAGCCCGTGTAGCCAATAGTGCCGTTTACTGCACGTGGCGTTTTCATGTCGCGAGAAACACGGTATGCGTTTCCAGCTCCAGTAGATAGCGTGCACGGTTAAAAAGACTATGAAGTAAACAAAACAAGCAGCGTTCTCGGCTCGGCGTTGGCGTTTCACAGCAGCGTCTTCCGCACGCATTTGCGGATGTTCTTGAGAGGCGCCCAGGGCGGCCCAGCTATAGAACCGTCGAGAGTGAGGCGCAAGCGGACGAGTGAGGTGCAGGAAGGAGAGCGAACAGTGAGAGAATGAACGGCGAACCACTGCACCTACCCTCTCTTACACTCTCTCTTACCACATGCTCCAGTTGCTAGGTTGCTAGGGGTGAGAATACGCGCGAGCGCCCACATCTGTTGCTATGGAAAAGAGAGTGAGAGCGCCGAGATAACACCTGCCGGCGCGGATGCCGCGGACAATGCCGGATGCCTGACATAGCCCGACTAAGAAATGCATCCGCATATAAAACTAGAAGGCAAGCATTGGTCACACGGAATCGAACCATCAACTTCTACTTTCTCAGCGAGCGGAGCCAACTACTACGTCACGGAGCATACGTTGCCGAGAATGCTAACGCTAAATCATTTATATACACCTTACGCCGTTTGGCAGCTCTCAGAGCTTCGAAACTTTAGCGCGTTTTCGTTATCA